ACACCTACGCCATTGTGACCGATTTTAAATCATGTCACTCAGAGCCTCCAACCATTGATTACGATAGTCACGTGGACCCCAACCAAGTAGTCTGAATCATCCAGGTTTTCCATGGTGGTCTAGCTTCAATTGACTGATGATTTCAATCAGTGAAATTTAAAGATAGTGATTGGTGCTTACATAATACCACGAATTGATTAAAGCTGAAGTAATCTAATGGTTTAAACGGTTCTAAATAAACTGAATGAATAATTTGTCAGTATTTACTGATCCTTAGTATCTCAATTCAGACATTTAATCAGTTACTCACTTTTTTAGTTGTAAAGCTAGATCGTTTATATTGTGTTATAATAATTATGTGATAATAGTAAAGTTTATTTTATTATCATTTTTAAGTGATTATATATTGTCACTGGTCTTATAGATTATATATATATAATTTTCGATGGGTTTTGGTTCTCTGAGGTGGATGGTTTGGTCGTGGAGCTTTCATCGTTCTTCTGAACGACATCATCAGCACAAACTTCAGATAGAAGTGAAGTGTTCGAATTACAGTATGTATGGAACACTGTACTATAATATGAAATCAACTAATTCAACGATAATCTTCATTATACTATAAATGGTATAAATTACTCATGGGAATATTAATAGTTTTACTTTATTTTACAACCAATCCCTAATTTTATATCAGAAAGGGTTTTGTGGATATTATAGTAATTTCAATGGTTGAGATCATGAGTCGGTTGAAGCTAGACCGGGATCGAGGTCTAGTGGTTAAGCGCTCGCGCGCGAGACTGATAGGTCCTGGATTTTAATCTCGCGACGATCGAGATCGTGGATACACACTGCTGAGGAGTCCCACAGTAGGACGAAACGGCCGTCCAGTGCTTCCAGGTTTTCCATGGTGGTCTAGCTTCAATCGGCTTATGATCTCAACCATTGCAATTCTAAATTCGTACGCCATAATGTTCCACAATGTACTGGCCGTAAACTTAATCATTCACTTTTAATCATTAATTTGAATGCAAAACTGTAGAACGTAATGACAATTTTTATTCCGATTGTCTCCTTTTTAATAAACTGGAAAGTTTGATAAACCTGATAATTTTAATAATTGAATTCATGAGTCGATTAAAGCTAGACCACCATTAAAAACTGGAAATCACCGGATGACTATTTCGTTCCAGTATGGGATTCTTCGGAAATGTACATCCACGATCTCGCGCTAAGGAACTCGAATCTAAGACCTTCTGTCTCGCACTTGAACTCTTAACCTGCAGACTACTGAGGCGGCATCCAACGGATAGATTTCCTGGAGTTCTGGTGAGAAACTGTGACCAGCGGAGTCCAAACTGTGTTGAGTGTGAGATAGCTACTCATTGAAGAAAATGGAAGAAGGGTTGAGCAAAATCATGGATTGATTAAAGTTAGACATAAACACAGTTGGATGTTGGCACGATGGTCTAGATCGAGGTTGATTGTTCAGATGAAAGAGCGAAGGTGTTGGATTCGAGTTGTTTTGGTGTGGGGTCGTGGATGCCCACTAATGAGGAGTTCTATACTAGGACGAAACGGCCGTCCAGTACTTCTATGTTTTCAATGGTGGTTTAAGCTTAGATAAACTTATGAATTCAACTATTAAAATTACTACGATCTCCACAAACCCCCATTCTAATGATATTTCTGATAATAATAGCTATACAAAAGGTGGCTTTATTCATTACAGTAAAGTGACTTTAAGCTAAAATATAGTAACAAATTTCCCATTTAATATCCATTTAACCCATTAGCATTTAAAGTGTATATGAGAAATTCATAAGTATCATTACTCTAACGTTTTAAACAAACTGATTACTGACTGAGTAGTTTATGATAAGAAATATATTATTACACTATCATATACGAAGAATATTTTTACACAGTGACTGAAAGTCTCACATATTCACATACAAATGATTCTTGATCAATTTTGTTCCACGATATCGTCTGTCACCTCATGCAATATGTTTAATGCATTAATTCTATTACGATGGCTTCCTATCTCTTTATATAATATACGACTCGGAAAAAAATTACAAACTACATATTACAGATCTACTCGAATTTAGTGTCAGTTGCCTATACAACTGGCTTTAACCCTTTTGTAAGGGCTCTTGAGTTCATTAAATCATCGGCATACATAACATTAAAAAAAGTTAAAAATATAATTTATCTTAATGTGACCACTACTGAAAACCTGGAAGCCCTGAGAGCCTAAAACATTCGATCTCGCGCTGAGGAATCCTATATCAGAATAAAACAGTTGTCGATTGTTCATTGGTTCGTTGTGATTGGAAAACTATAACAAATCAAGGAATATTGGATACATATTTGACTTTTTATTTGAAACTCCATAGTAATATACACCCATGATCTTATATAACTGTATCCTTGAATTGGAATCCAGTAGCCAACATTTCCAAATTCAATCGATTTTGAAATAAATTCTTATCATCATTCAACACTATCTACATGTAGTTGTCTGATTTTTTGATTTCCTATAAACGTTATCAAAAAAGTGTCTTATAATGGGATGGCTAAATGCTCTGTAAAGTTTTAATTCCATAAGAACAATCTGCAAAAGATTTGAAGCTTTAGTAATAAGTAATATGAGTAGAGTATTTCCACACCTTTTCTATTGAATTTCAGTTATTTCATTGTCACATTATTAAACTTAACCCTAAGTAATAGTTTTAAATTAATATTTATTATCAGATGAGTTTTGTGGATAGTATAGTAATTTCAATGGTTAAAATCATGAGTCAATTGGAATTACTATCATATCCACAAAACCCATCTGATATTAATCAACATATGCTCACTAGTGACTGAATTCAAGAGGTATTTCTTGGAGTTCTAGTGAGAAGTAGTGACCAGTGGAGTTCAACCAGGTCTGTTTTGAGATAGTAACTCACTGAAGACAATGGTGGATGTATCGCTCAATTTCGTGGATTAGTTGAAGTTAGACATCAACACCGTTGGATGACATTAGGCTCAGTGGTCTACTGATTAAAAGTCCGTGCGTGAGACTGGTAGGTCTTGTGTTCGAATCTCGCGGGGGGGGGCGAGGTCGTGGAGTCCCATACTAGAACGAAACGGCCGTCCAGTGCTTCCAAGTTTTCCATGGTGGTCTAGCTTCAACTGACTCATGATCTTAACCATTGAAATTAATATTTATTAACTTACATGTTTATTTATTTATTAGCTTTATTCAGTATTGCATTTTTGGTACAATGTAGAATTCTCAGCACAATGTAATTCAACAAGGTTCCGTTTCTTACTTCTTGATCGATCCTGAAGATAATGTATTGTGTGATCACCAGTTGGAAGTTAGCATTTCAGTCAAATGACATCGAAATAATGTACATTCTTTCTGATGCATATTTCCAGCAACCACAATGTCTCTGATTGGTCTCTTTTTTAACTTGTACAATGAAATGTTGTACAATTTTCAGAAAGGCATCTGTATAGGTTATGCAATGAATAGATATAATGATATGTTAAAACAAACAATAAAACAGATCACTTGTTGAAATATCTAGATTGTCGGAAGGGACAGGTAACAAAATTATCATCAAGAAATGTTCAAGATGACAATGGTCACTACTCAGTGACTGATCCCTGCAAATAAAATATTTTGTTACAAAGTTATCAGTTCTTAGAATTATTTAACCCTATTTTCTTCCCAGTTCAAAGATTAAATTGTACAAATTGCATACTAAAGACCGCTAGACTGTTATTCACATCATTATTAAATCACCTGATAGGTACTTGTGTACATTATATTTATATTCCAAAAGATATGAGTATTTGAATGAAATCAGTATGTAGAATTTGCATTGACTTCTTCCTGATCTTTTCAGAAATATCGTTCAATTTTTAGATAACTTATATTCAAGGACTGGCATTAGTATAAAGTTATGGATTAAGGTTTCTTGATTTCATGACCAAATTTGCGATTGTTAAAATAAGGTAAAACAATGCTTGTCAATGAATGATATGTAGGGATACAATGGGATTGAATGATAGCTGCTTACAAGAGCATTGGTCTAAGCCGTCGTATGATTTGAGATCAAATAGAAGACCAGTAGTCTATGGTAGACTGAAAATTCAAGTACACAGATGAATAGGTTTTTATTTCTAATAAAACAAAACGATTGTACACAAAATATGAACAGAAAAATAAACATGATTAAATATTATAGGCGATTGAAAGGAATCAATTTTATCGAGCACTCACATTCCATTTAGTTGCAAACTTACCCCTCTTATTTATAGACAATAATAATGTCACGAATTAATTAAAGTCGGAGATGTAAGCTATTAGATGTCACTAACTCAGTAATCTGAAGGTCACGAATTCAACTCCAGAGAAGGTCGTTGGAAGATTTCCTGTAAAGTCTCATATCAGAACAAAATAACTATCAATTGCTCTATACTTTCCAATAGTTCTCTATCTGAAATCAACCAGTTCATGATGCCGATTTTCATCAAAATTTTTGTATATTTTATTCTAAATTGTATCATTACATTCTTCACTAGAAATCAAGTATGTTACATAAGATATTGATTTGGTAATTCAAGATTGTATCTTTTCTTTCAAAAAAACAATCATAAACATCTCTTCATTGCATTCACTTACTTTTTACTTTTGATGGCGTTTTGTTCTACTAGCTGAATGGTTCGGTTGTGGAGTTTTCATCGTTCTTCAAATAGACGTTTGTGCTGATGATATCATTCAAAGGAACGATGAAAGCTCCATGATCAAACCATTCAGCTCAGAGAACAAAACTCCATCAAAATCATTCATCTGAGCTATAAATCTTCTCCACTTTTTTATTTTATTATACAGTTTTTAAATGAATAAGAATAGTTCATCATTATTCTAACTGTCAGTATCTTTAATAAACAATCTATGATTTATACAATATAACCCAAGTATACATCATATTATTCAAATGTTCAGCAATCATTTAGATCACCATAGTGATTATGATAAGTTTAACAATGATCAGAATAATAATGATCCGAATAAGAAGATCATAAATGATAATTATGAAGTAAATATTTTTCAAAATTATACAAAACAATATTATTATATACAACAATTTATACCATCCCCTTTATTATTATTTACCTGGACAAAATTAATGAGAACAGAATTGTTTCGACAAACTTTACAGAATGTAATTTTATCAAATTATGATAATTACGTAATGACTAGATTACAATCTACTAATAGTCCGGTTAATAATAATAATAATAATAATAGTAATGGTAATAATAGTAACGGTAATCATACAAATCCAGATCTAATCGATTTAACTCATAGAAATGCCTTAATCAAAAAATATTTGAATAAATTAAATAGTTTATTATTTGAATATTTATCATCTAACAAAGATTGGGCATCGTCATCATCATCATTATCATCGTCGTCGTCGTCGTCATCAACATCATCATCACCATCGTTGTTATCCTCAACAAATATCATTGAACCATATCATCAGTTTAATGTATATAATAATTATGAATCAAGAAATTGCTTCTATCAGTGGTTAAATCAATCAATCAATTGTAATAATTTATATGATGATAACACTTTGATCAAGAATATAAACCATGAAAGTAATCATTTATTTAAATTAGATGATAATCTACCTCTTGAAGAAGCAACAGTACAATTCAATAATGAAAATAATAATAATAATAATATTAATAGAGATTTCCATGTTGATAATAAGTATCATTTGGATTCATATAGGACTTCATTTAATATACCAGAAATATATCATTCTAAATGTAACCCTTTATGGTCAGATATATGTTATACAGAAAATTATCATCCTGAATTATATCAGAATTGTTCAATTTGGAAACAAACATCATCATCATCATCATCATCCCCATCACCATCATTATCAGCGGCAGCGACAACACCACCACCACCACCACCACCATCACTGATTGTTCTTTGGATACTAAACATACAATTATGAATTCATCATTTATATCATTGAATAAATCCAATTTCAATGAAATTATTGATGATACAAAATTACAATTACAATCTACTACTACTACTACTACAACTACTAATACAATTCCATCTATTTCATATTCTCCACCATTAAATTTTAATGAATTTATTTTAGATCAAAATATGTTATGTCCATTATGTCATAAATGTTTTCGATTTGAAAAAAATTTGTTAAGACATTTACAAAAAACCCATGCAACTAGTACAGGTGAATCATTATTAAAATGTAAATTATGTAATTATACAACAAGACATTATAGTAATATGTATGTACATATTAGAACACATACAGGTTAGTAACTAATTAATTATATATATTTCACTGGTTGAAATCATGAGTCAATTAAAGCTAGACCACCATGGAAAACCTGGAAGACATTAACACCGTTGAATGTCGTCCGGCTCTGTGGTCTAGTTGATTAAGCGCCTGGAGCGAGACTGATAGATCTTGGGTTCGAATCTCGCGGGGGGCGGGATCGTGAATGCGCACTGATGAGGAGTCCCATACTAGAACGAAACGGCTGTCCAGTGCTTTCAGGTTTTCCATGGTGGTCTAGCTTCAATTGACTCATGATTTCAACCAGTGAAATTTCTAAAAATCTCCGCAAAACTCATTCTGATAATTATATATTTATTACATAATCATATTTTCAATATGTGTAAAGATTTTCAATTTGATAAATTTGAAAAAAATCTTTTATGATTATAATCATCATATGCTCACTAGTGACTGGTTTCAAGAGGTATTTCCTGGAGTTCTAATGAGAAGCAGTGACTAGTAGAGTTCAACCAGGTCTGTTGTGAGATAGTAACTCATTGATGACAATGGTAGACAGTGGTGCAATGTCGTGGATTTGTCGAAGTTAGACATTAACACCGTTGGGTGCTGGCTCAGTGGTCTACAGGTTAGGTTCTGAATTCGAATCCCGCGATGCGGGATCATGGGTGCACATTGCTGATGAGTTCCATAATAGAACGAAACGGCCGTCCAGTACTTCTAGGTTTTCCATGATGGTCTAGCTTCAACTGACTCATGAATTCAACTATTAAATGTTATAAAGTTATACGAAACCAATTTTGTATCATAATTAAAGTGATTTCAACAATATACAGATATAATAAGAACCAGGACATCCAAGTACCATAATACTCTAATTCATATCCATATATTAGATTAAAATCAAGTTAGTAGATGTAATATCTGTTCGGTTATCGAGATTATTTTCCTTGGACATTTCAGCCATCTATTTGTATTTTAAGGAAATCATCATGTCTAAGATTTGTTTGAACTAAATAATTACGAGCGCAAACCGTATATGTATACTTAAGTGTGGTTCTTATAAAAAAACGTTTCCAAACCATAGCGATACGATAAATACTTGGAAACTCGAACGGAGACAATGTAATTATCGAAATAATTTCCTAATTGTCTATCCTTTGAAGAAATAAGGGATAATTGTGTTTGGAATACATACGTCTTAGATCCATTCATGATTTCAATCAAATTCAACAATTTCGACAACCCCTTATTGACAATTGTCATATGCTCACCAGAGACTAGCTTCGAGAGCAGATTTTCAGTTTTAGTGAGAAGTCATGGTCAGTGGAGCAAACCCATATCAGATTTGCGGCAGTTACTCATCAAAGACAATGTGAAATGGATTGATCGAAGTTAGGCATCAACACAGTCGGAGACCGATTCAGTGGTCTACAGAAATTGAGCATTCGCGTTGGAGACTTCAGATAGTGAGCTCGATTCCCATGTGCGTGGTTGTAGACGAGCACTGCCAAGCAATTTTGCACTAGGACAAAAATAATGTTCAGTACTTCCAGGTTTTCAACGGTGGTTTAACTTAGATTAATTCATCATATCAATGCAATTTTTCCATCTAGTATACAGTGAATGAAATGAAATTTGTAGAAGCTGATTTTAAAAAAAACTTTCTCCATCGAAGATGATGAGTAGATACTGAAAGCTGAAAAACATTCGTAAGATCTTATTTTATGAGTAATGACAATTCGATCAAACGAAAGAAGTCCATTGATTCATCAAAAAGAATGAAGATGTTTTAGCAAAGGAAATTATCTTTTCGTCGATATCATTTTCTGAAATTTTACAACCGTATTTATAGGTAATTTTCACATATGATAGTCTACAGTAAAATAGAAATGATTTTATCACGATTTATTGGTCACTGGGTGGTGATCAATGTCATGCATGTCAAGTCCTTATTTTAGTGCAGATCGAATGCGATCGACAGTCGCGGCCCGGATAGCTCAGTGGTAACGTCTCTGACTGTGAAGCTGGGTGACACGAGATTGAACCCGTCAGGGAGCACCAGTTCCCTCAAGATTATAGGTACACCTTGCTGACGAGTGCTAAGTAGCACGAAACCCATGTCCAGGGTTTCCTGTTGGCTACCTCCAACCACCATCTAATCTCAGAATGATTTTATAAAATTATCAAAGATAGTCAAACTTATTCACGTGAAAGTTAATGAAAATGAAGTGGTGTTGCATAATATAGTCATGATTATCAACAAATTTTAAGTAACGCGTATAATAGTTTATAGATGGAAGGGTGTTATTTTGAAGTAATTAAAGCTTTTAAGCATTGAATAAGAAAGGGGTATCGCAACATTTAGTAGTAGTGTGATGTGTTCTACTTATATTGACATAAGTAGTATATGATGTTAGCCGTGAACAGAAGGTCTGGTAGCAGAGAGACAAGAGGGTCTAACAGTAAAGAATGGAAACAAAATGCAATTTGTATGAAAATGCAAGAACAATGAAGTCTGAGTCATTTTGAGGCAATCGATGGACATTTTGCAAATTGAGCATTTACTTTATGATTGTTAGACTTTATGAACAAGTCCTGTAATTTTGTGTTGAATACATTCGTTTGCCCCCACTGGTGTTCTTGTTCACTACAGTGGTAGTCAAAGATCATCAAGAGCTTACGTTGTGTAATAGTTTTAAAAAGTAAAAAGATTTACTAATCTACAAAATAGAAGCTGGAAACAACTGTCCACTTAATAAAGGGAATTAATAATGTAATAATTGGGACTTGTGATTTTTAGAGTTCTTGTTAACTGAATCAATCATACTTTTGGATGGATATTTTAAATCCAGATCTTCATAGATAAAGTCTTGCGTGATGTTTGTACAACTTGTTAGTTGACATATAATTTGCAATAAAATACACACAGAACGAATATATATTGACGGTTGCTAAATTTTGTGAATTAATTAAAGTTATACATTCACACCGTTGAATACAGACATAGTAATCTAGAAGTTAAGCGTACGAGTACGAGACCAGTCCTGAGTTCGACTCCCAAGTGTAAAGCCGTGGGTGAGGATTGTTGAAAAGTTCCATACTTAATTAAACGGCCTCCAAGGAATTCTATGCTTTCAGACGTCTAACTAAAATCAGTTTGTCACTTAAAATTTGTAAGAATATATATTTGTATGATACTAAATTCGTATTGCATCAGAATACTGTGAATCATAAAATATATTCCATTGTTACATACTTTCAATTTTACATAAAAATCAGGCTACAAATCCCACTATCAACAGTTCTAATTGTTTTTATTTGACTAATGGTGACAATTAGGACAGGACATTCTCATAATACAGCATAGACAAAACACAGTGACTGATAGCTTTTAGCTTTGGATACTTGTAATAGGAGAAAATAAATGCTTACAATTAATAATAAGTATTGTGCTTAGCAAACAAGTTAGTCAGTTACTGTAAATCAATGACTTACTGGGTAGGGACTACGACTTATCAAATTTACTTAGCTACTAAGCATATGTCACAGCAACTAATGGTGTCAGATACACCAGTTAGACATCTCAATTCAAGCCCTCAAGTACCCTGGTACGGCCGAGAGTGGGGACAGTCAGCTCTCTCTCTAAATACTCTTACATGGCCACGTGAATACAACCTCTGCCAGCGAAGTCCTACTCATTGCCTTCTCGCGGTGGGGGTGTTGTTTGCAAAGTTGAGAGGACGCAAAGCGAAAGATTCGAAAATAAACACATTAAAAAATATCTTATCAAAATTGAATAACAAATATTTATCCCAATAGCCAAGATCATGAGTCAATTGAAGCTAGACCACCATAGAAAACCTGGAAGCACTGGACGACAGTTTCGTCCCATTGTGCGACTCCTCAGAAGTGCGGATCCACAATCCCGCCTCATGAGATTCGATTGTTAACTGGAATATTTTAAGTCAGCTCTATGCTTATGACTCTTCAAGTATATAATGTATACTTATAGGTGAAATATAGTAGAGCATCTATGTTATAATCTTTTGACAACAACTGTAATGTATCACGTTTGCATTTTTCCAGCGTGTAGCGTAGTCTATTTTCTAATAGTTGAATTTGTAATTCGATTTAAGCTACATCACCATTTAAAACCTGGAAACACCGGATGACCATTTCATTCTAGTGTGGGGCTCCTCAACAGTGTGCTGGTTTTCAACGGTGATCCAGCTTAAATAAATTCATGAATTCAACTATTAAAAATTACTAAATCTCCACAAACCCTCATTCTAATAATAGCCTGTTTTGTAGAGATTTTATTCAGTAAAATCAGAATGATTTCAAACTGAATAATAAATGATGAAAAACACAATCCATTCGCACTATCATTTTAGCTTTTATTTTTCTTACTGAAGCTCATCTCCAACTATTACATTGTCATGAATCCTTTTAACTCTATGTTAGTCAAATGGATAAGTTTTAATAGTTGATATCATGAGTTAATTGATGCTAGATCATCATGAAAACCTGGAAACACTGAGCAGCCGTTTCATCCTAGTATGGAACTCCCCATCGGTGCGCAACCACGACCCCGCCTCACGAGATCCGAATCCAGGAGTTATCGGTCTCGCGCGCGAACACTTAACCACTAGACCACCAAGCCGCCATCCAACGGTGTTAATGTCTAACTTCAACCAATCCACGAAATTGCACCGACGTCCATCATTGTCTTCAGTGAGTTACTATCTCACAACAAACCTGGTTGAATTTCATTGGTCACTATAATATCCGAAAAACTCATTCTGATATTAAATTGATAAGTGTTCATTATTAAAGCATGTTTTGTCAGTTTTAATTATAAAAATTTTCCACTAAAAGAAAAACAAACGAACATAAAATTTACAATGATTAGTTGATCTTCCTTAAACTTTATAGTTTAATAATATAATCAAATAGACATTTAATATCTCACATTTTTCCCCCTCCTCTCCTCTCCACTCCACTCCCCTCCTCACCCCATCCCACCCCCCACAATCAAATTCTATTAATCTAAATGTAACTAATGGGTATACAAATTAATTAACTGAGTACATAATCCGTTTATTCATTTGAAATTCATAATATATTTTTTCAATAGAAATCAATAATTTGTATCTACCTTACTTTATTTTTTTGGAATTAAAACGTAATTAACTAGTTTTCATTCAAGTGAATGAGTTCATTATCAATGAAATCATTCAATTGAATGATTATTGAATATTGAAATCAAATAGCCGACCAAGCAACCAAGCAACCAACCAAAAGTAATGACAGTTTATTATGTATCTATCTAATTTACACTTGACTAAAATGAAAATTGAGAAAAACTATACATCTATCATAAATTAATTAATTTCTCTATGTATGTTTTCTGTTTACTTCTAAATGAAAGAAGCAGAAAACAACTTGTTGTCACTTGAAATAATCGTTGTTTCTTCATGAGTTCGTTTATAATTAATATGAAATATGATTTATGGAGATTTTAAGGTATTACATGTATATATGATCTAAAACTTAAGTAAAAAGCATTTGAAACGAAATCTTTAAGGTATAAACTAAATGTCAGCACTAGATTATGTTAATGAATACGATAAGACTATAATTTATAAGATGGTGGAGAAGATTTATAGCTCAGAGAAGCTGAATGGTTTAGTCTTGAAGCTTTCATAGTTCTTCTGAATGACATCATCAGCACAAACTTTATGTAGAAGTCCATTCGAGAACAACTGTATTTTCTCTACGACTATCTTCGTTAGTATGTTCTATCAACAAGTGTAAGATACAAACCTCTAATGAACTGCCATTGGGATGAACTATTCTGATGGAGTTTTGTTCTCTAAGCTGAATTATTTGTTCGTGAAGCTTTTATCTACCTGAAGTTTGTGCTGATGATGTTGTTCAGAAGAGCGAAGAAAGCTTCACTACCAAACCATACAGCTTAGAGAACAAAACTCCATTAGAAACTATAATTTATGAGCGAATCAATTAAGTAAACGATAACAGGTCCTAGATTTTGGCGCGAAATTCATTTATCCATTTGATAAAATACTATTTTGGTATTATGGCTAATGTCAGTTCGTGATGCAAACCTTAAATCTAATTTCTAACCTTAACTATTAACTGTAAATTATAATTCTAATTCCCCATACAGATTTATAACCTTCATTTGATCCTAGTTATTAGGTGGACACTTTCACGGTCGCTCAGACGTCACTCAAACGTCGTCCATAAATTATAGTCTCACCATGAAAACCATCCTATATATAACGTCTATATTCCAACTGTTTAAATCTTACAATTAGTTTAGTGATAGTGGCACTGACTGAAACATTGAGTAAAGTGGGTTTAAAGCACATAAAGCATTATAAATACATTTTAATGACGAATGACAACGGGGATAAAACACAAACGTAAGAGAGTTTTCCGGTAACTACCTTCTTTCACCTAATATCATTATCATGTCTGTTTACCGCATTATTTATCTATGTTTCTCTCTATAAATGTTAAAACATGTCACCATTATTAAATACTGCAAAAATGAAGCAGATTTACATTATTTGCAATATTGTCCCATTTAATCTGGTTCTCAGAAAAAAGTCATAAGTAAATCAAACTTTATGGATACAAAAAAGTGAAATGCAGAGGTTGTGCGGTACGTTTTCTAGTGTATGTTTCACAAGTTGCAGAAGATATATATATATATATATATATGAGAAACTGGCCGAAAACAAACATCTGTCAATTACCAATGTACTTTTTCCATTCAAATGTTAAATGATTGAAAGTATTCAGGAGAAAACCCTGTTTGGTCTAGGTTTCATGCTACACAGCACCTGTCAGCAAAATAGATCTGTAACACTAAAACAATTCATGCTATCTATGTAATTTCAACAAAAGTCACTTAGCTTCACAATTTTAAAAGTTCCCATCTAGCTATTGAGGTTAGAGTGGCCATAATATCCAACATGTACCTTTGAAAATAGATCATTCTCCTGTTATTATAACTCAGTATTAAAATCTCAGACAAACTAAGGTTTAAATCTTATATATACAGTATACATTGTATCAAGATTACAAAGATGCCATCATAATCTCTATTAACAAGCTTGAACTATAAATCTACAACTTCGGATTCATTCGTGTTTAATGCTTAGAATGATTTAAATGTAAACATTAAGTAGATGAACTACCTTGGAATACTTTTAGAAACACCATAATCAAACCTAACAGGTATGTAGTACCTGTTTAGCACTATACTATAGAATGTTCTTCAACCTGAATCGATGTGAAATAATGTAGAAAGTTTTAATATGAAGTTTATTTGTAAATAACTTGTGATAACTTTTTTCCTACCTAAATATCTTCTATATTCTTGGAATACTTCATGACTCATAAAGATCTATGTAATATTATCAATATGGTTAAAAGAAAGGGATTGAATATATATGAACAACACATACACACACAAATTACTTTAACGTTTTGTTTATTTATTTCTTTATTTACACAATGATTGTTTACTCCCTCTTTATTATTATTATTATTATTATTATTATCAGTAGTAGTAGTAGTAGTAGTAGTAGTAGTAGTAGTAGTAGTAGTAGTAGTAGTAGTAGTAGTAGTAGTAGTAGTAGTAGTAGTAGTAGTAGTAGTAGTAGTAGTAGTAGTAGTAGTAGTAGTAGTAGTAGTAGTAGTAGTAGTAGTAGTAGTAGTAGTAGTAGTAGTAGTAGTAGTAGTAGTAGTAGTAGTAGTAGTAGTAGTAGTAGTAGTAGTAGTAGTAGTAGTAGTAGTAGTAGTAGTAGTAGTATTGACTTTTATGATCATGAATAAACGATTATTTAATTCCTTCTATCCTTTTTTTCAAGTTTACCATCTCATCCAACATAATGACTTAGTTTTAAAATATTTCTTGTAGAATATTTTCTTTTCTTGTTGTTGTTGTTGTTGGCTGAGCTTTGAAAAACACCATTTTGTTCACTGATGTCAAGTCAAGTTGACTTCTATGTGTATGTGTCTAGATATATGTTAAGACAATGCATATATGTGTATACTCGTAATAGCAATGGTAAAAAAGGGCAATACATTCAATTGTGAATCTTACTCACTAGTTAAGTAAGTGATAAATAACATATTAGTATTATGTTGGAAAGTCTACCAGTAAGCCAATATGATTATCATTATCCTTATTATTGTTCATCCATTCGTAGTCTTTATTCGGTAACCATAATTCATTTTCTTTTTTTAGGTGTATGTTTCAAATTAATAAATTTTATTACATTGAAAACAGTTATATATTTAGAGAGTGATGGTGATGGTGGTGGGTTTGTGGAGATTATAGTAAATTTTAATAGTTAAGATCATGAGTCAATTGAAGTTAGACCATCATAGAGAACTTGGAAGCATTGGATGGCTGTTATATAATTAGGAAACAAATTCGTCAAAAATAATCTATTCACATTGTAATCCATTGTATTATGGTCTGTGTAAAGAATAAATCATTAAGAAAGACACATTAATATATATTATTACTCACTTTTAATATATTTTTACTGGATCCCTCTTCTATGTAGTTAATTTCTTCAGCATCATTATAATTCCAAAAGAATAACTATGAGTAGAATGATATTCTGTAAGCAATTCGTTGATTTAATGGTTGAATTCATGAGTCAGTTGTAGCTAGAACATTATGGAAAACCTGGAATTACTGGATGACCGTTTTGTTCTAGTATGGAACTCCTCATCAGTGCTCATCCACGATCCCACATCAGAAGGACTCCAACTAAAGACCTTTGGTTTCTCACGTGAACGTTCAACCTGTAGACCACTGAACAGGTATCCAATTGGGTTGGTTTCTAACTTCAACTAATACATGATAGTGCACGACCGTCCATCATTGTCTTCAGTAACTGCATCACAACAGATACGGTTAAACTCCACTAGTCATGGCTTCAAGATGTATTTCCTGGAGTTATGGTGAGAAGTTGTAGCCAGCGGAGATTAACTGTCTGTTGTAAGGCAGTTATTCACTGAAGACAATTGTGGACGGTTCACTCAATATCATAGATTGGTTGTAGTTAGACATTAACACCGTTGGATGCCGGTAGGCTCAGTGGTCTAGAGTTCAAACGTTGGTGTGCGAGACTGAAGGTCCTGAGTTTGAGTCCCACGTGTAGCATCGTGGATGCGTATAGATGAGGAGTCTTATACCAGAATGAAACGTCTGTCTAGTGGTTCTAGGTTTTTCATGGTGATCTCGATTAAATCGACTCATGAATTCAGCTATTACAATGACTATGGTTTCCACAAAACCCTCATTCTGATAACAATTCATTGATTATCAAAGTTATTTATTGATAAAAATAAGTGATTTATTCAAGTATTCTTTATTCTTCTCTTATTCATTTTCATTATCGCTATCATGGATAGAAGTAACTAACGATAATAATAATTTTCAATAAAAGGGTATCACAAATAAATAAAGATTTACCTTCTTTGCTTACTAATAAAACATTAATCTATACTCTATTCTAATAATATGACCTATTATTGTTTGTAACATCTGTACCTTTAAAGGAAACGAATAGAAAACAATTAAAGTGATATATATATATATATATATATATATATATATATATATATATATATATATTCGAAGTGAAAACTAAAGTATATATATATACGGATTTCCGTATAAAATATCTTTGAAGTTGTTCTTTTCTCTCTCAGTAATATCTGACCTCTCACTCTCTTGTTTGTGTAGTTCATTTATCTCTCTGTCCTTTTATCATTTTGTTTTGTTTTAAATTTCTTTTCATTATTCGTGATAGTTAAATGATAATATTAAGGAATTTATTAATTTTTCTAGAATCACTGAATAATAAATAAATATCAGAAAGCAAAGATGGATAGTGGCTAGCAGTGGAATCCAAGACGCGCGTTTCGTCCTGTTTGGGACTCGTCAGCTGGATGTACCTGCATCTCAGAGTTGATGTTCACTCCGGGACTCGAACTCAGTACCGTTCGCTTCAAACGCCATCGCGTTATCCACTTAGCTACTGAGTGCTGATAGCAATTTGCTTGTGCAATGGGTTGAAGTTTAATTCACATGATATTGTTTTACTTGAATCTTCCCACTGATGTTTTTGGACTGAAATTAATCAGTCTCTTATTGGCATATGTGCATCGGTTCGAGCCTCAGAGTGAACATCAACTCTGAGATGCAGGTACATCCAGCTGACGAGTCCCAAACAGGACGAAACGCGCATCCTGGATTCCACTGCTAGCCACTATCCATCTTTGCTTATAATGCTTGTAAATTAAGGCAATATCGAGGCATACGCATAGTATGCACATATGCCAATAAGAGACTGATCAATTTCAGTCCAAAAACATCAATGGGAAAATTCAAGTAAAACAATATCAAGTGAATTAAATATTAGAAAGGTTTTTGTGGATATTATAGTAACTCAATGAAGACAATGGTGAATGTGTCGCTTAATTTTGTGGATTGGTTGAAGTTAGACATTAACACTATTGGCTGCCGGATCAGTGGTCTAGAGGTTAAGCGTTCGCGTAAAAGAGGTTGATAGGTCCTGTCTTAGAATTTTGCCATGTGGAATCGTGGATGCGCACTGCTGAGTCCCACAACGGGACGAAACGGCCATCCATTGTTTCTATGTTTTTTCATGATGATCTAGCTTCAATTGACTCATGATCTCAAACGTTGAGAATAAATAAATGTTTATCGACAATCGACAATCTAAAAATAAATCAGTTATAATGTGTAACTGTTTCTTTTTGGTAGTTTTGAGATTCCTTTTTGATTAAATTCTATTTTAATGTTAATTTTGATCATATGTGAAATATTGTGACTGATTAAATTTGATCTTGCTAAACACTCGAAGATAGTTGATAGGAAACTTCAGTGGTAAGTTTAGTATTAGTTTACATATTTTTGTAAAAGTTTACTTGGAGTTTCAAAGGAAATGATGCACCATGTTGGGTATCATGCCCACAATTTTAAACCACTTAATATCTCAGGATACTTCATGTGATTTCAAGTTACAATGCCATATTGCAGTTTGATCAATTTAATGTGATTAGCATTAAAGGACTAGTCAAACATGTCAATGGTCACTACACAATAATCAATTAATTGTGAGTCTAACTGTGTTGAAAGTAAGACAAAGATCATTGATGGTATACGATGAATGTTATACTATATTATGCATTGATTGTAATTGACCATATAGACTTCTGAAAACTAACACAATTGTTCAATGTTATCATATTCACCACTAGACCTAAATGTTTTTCATCAGTCAGTGATTGCTCACTGTTGAAGAACCTTAAACTTAGACAAAACAAATACTCATGTCTTATTAGCTTTAAAGTAACCAACATGAAAACTATTCATCTAATTAACTTTAATTTCTTATAAAATTGATATTTAAACGTATTTAATTATTAAGGTCAACAAATAGTATTACCATTTTAATAGCTGAGATCATGAGTCAATTGAAGCTGGACCACCATTGAAAACCTGGAAGCAGTGGATGGCCGTTTCGTCCTATTGTGCGACTCAGCAGTGAGCATCCATGACCTTGCCTCATGAGATTTCAATACGGGATCCAACGGTGGTAATGCCTAACTTCAACCAGAACTGATTGCGTGTCTAGTCTTTATTAGTGCAGATTGAATGCTATCGATCATGTTGCAATGTGGCCACCAGTCTAGGTGACTCGACACTGCGGACACTATGTATTGAGATTTAGATGGTGGTTGGAGGTAGTCAACAGGAGACCCTGGACACGGGTTTCGTGCTACTTGGCACTCGTCAGCAAGGTGTACCTGTAATCTTGAGGGAACTGGTGCTCCCTGGCGGATTCTATCGCGTGTCACCCAGCTTCACAGTCAGAGACGTTACTACTGAGATATCCGAGCCGCGACCGACCTCGTGTAGGAATGAGATGTAATCATACTAGATTGCGTGTCTAGTCGTTATTAATGCAGATCGAATGCTATCGACCATGTTGCAATGTGGGGTTTCCAGTCGACTACCTCTAACCACTATCTAACTTCATCCAATCCACGAAATTATTCCACCGTCCACTGATGTCTTCAGTGAGTTATTATCTCTCAGTGGAGTTCAACCGGAAGGTCCAATGCTTCCAGATTTTCCATGGTGATCTCGCTTCAAATGACTCGTGATCTCAACTATTAAAATTACTATGAATATCCACAACCTACCCCCCTTCTGATAGTATTATCACTGTTTTATATTTAAAAAAGAAATAACATTCCTCATTTTCATTCTTCTGTTTTGTTTTTCTTCGTTTTTCTTTTAAATAGGTGATAAACCTTATTCATGTTCTGCTTGTGGTGTAACATTCACTCAAGGATCATCATTAAAATTACATATAAGATCACGTCATAATGATAATATTAAATATTTTTCATTAATACGTAAACCAGGTAAAAATAATTTAACAAAATTATGGACAAGAATATTAAAAAAAGATTTACCAAAATTTAATACATTCAAATCATCATCTCCATCTTCATCATCATTTCCATCTTCATCCTCTTATTATTATCATTATTATTATTATTATAATTATTGGAATAAATGGAAAAATATAAAATTAAATAATCAAATTAAAAATCAATATAAAAATCAATTAAATTCGAATTCAAATTTTATTGATTCAATATTCAATAATATGAAGAATAATAATAATAATTCATTATTAATCAATGATAAAAATATTAAAAAAATCATTCAATCAAATAATTGGAAATCAACAAATTTTAATTTAAAAATGAATATGAATAAAAAATTTGATCATCATCATCATCATCATAAAAAATATATGAATTATATCCAATCAATAAATAATAATGATTTAAAATTTACTGATCAAATCATTCATCTTAATCATGATCCTGATCAATATGATATTGATCAAATCAAATTAAATGAACAATTAATAAAACAAGAAAATATATAAAGTAAAATATAAATAAATGAATATAAATATAATTGTAAATATTTCAATGAATAGGAAAAAAATTATAAACGATCTGATGTTTCGTCACTCAAAGTAAGCCATTTCTTCAGAGAAGAAATTTTTTTAAAAAAAACATAAAGATAATATATTCCTGTATTGTTCAATGTTTACTCGTTAAACTTGTATAAATTATGATTTGATTGTTTATTTACTCTGAAGAAGTCACTAACACTGAGTTACGAAACATCAGAAAATCTAATTTCTCTACTTATTGAAATATTTGCCAAAAATAATGAATTTAATGCTCAATTTATTCAGAATTATCAGTTCAAACCATAGTAATGATACGTATAAATTAAAACAGATTGAAAATGATTCAATTACATTTATCAGTGAATGAAATAATCATTTAATGAATGAATAATTCAATGAAATGACAAGAAATTGAATGTAAACAATCTATAAATGAAATATTTTTCATAATTTGAAAATTTCTTTTTCCATTCATCATTCATAAATCAATACCCAAAATTTATTCATTCAATTGATCTTAAGTAATATCAGGTTGTGATCATGAATTGATTAATCAATGTTACATCATTATTGAAAATATGGGATTATAGAGTTCTATATTGAAATGAAATGGCTAATCAATATTTCCAGATTGTTGTTTGTTTTTTTGTTTAAAATGTTGATCTAATTTTGATTGATTTATGATCTTAATTAAAAAAATCAATAAATTGATTATATTAATAAGGATATATGATTATAATTATTAAAACAAATTAAAACGTTCATAATAATGGAATAATTAAACTTTTAACAAGATAAAGCGGTATTTTAAAATATTTTTAAATGAATATTATTTACCATTCGATTATTATTATTATTATTATTATGTCATTCCGATCAAATTAATTTTCTTTTAATTATATAACTTTGTCATTAAAGGAAAAAGTAAAAAGAAGAAAAAGAAGAAGAGGCAAAAAAGAGAAAAAGCATTTTCGAGAAAAAATATTGATTTTTTTCTTTTTGAAATTGAGATAATTCTTTTGTTGTTGTTTTTATGATGATTTATTTGTTATATGGTCCACCATGGTGCTTTGTACCTGTATGGTTGCGCCACAGGATTAAGCTGTACTATTCAGGTTGTAGCGTTAATGCCTATACAGTGTCTGGTTCCCCTGTTAAACTGAGTTGAGCTGTATTGTTTGGGTTTTCATGTGAAAGTCTGGATGGTGTCTGGTTCTCCTGAGAACCAATGTAAAATTACCCTTGCCCATAAGGGTATATTATATAACTGTTATTTGTTATAATCAAGGTATTTGTTTACTTTATTTCCTCATTTAATTGATAAGAATTTCGATTCTGATTTTTTTTTAATTAATTAGTTTTACTCATCATTTTCAATGTATAAACTTATCATTTAATTCTAATAATAATTTTCTTTTGAAGAAAATTATGTTAATTCAAAATATTCATTTGTTTTTAATTATTTGATTATCAGTATAGGGGTTGTGGAGATCAGTAAATTTTTGATTCAGATCATGAATCGATTAATGTTAGATCACCATTGAAAACCTGGAAGCAACAGACGGCCGTTTCGTCCAATTGTAGGACTCCGCAGCAGTACGCATCCACGATCCTGCCTTGTGAGACTCGAACCCAGGACCTATCATTCTCGCGCGTGAACGCTTAACCTACTGGACCATTGAGCTGGCATCCAATGGTGTTAATGTTTAACCTTAACCAATCCACGACATTGCGCGACCATCTTCCATTGTACTGAAGTAGATAATTGTCCTTACCTGACACGGATTAAGAGTCCGACAATAAGACGAAACGGTCGTTCAGTGGTTCCAGATTTTCAATGGTGGTCTAGCTTAAATAGACTCATGATTCCAATAAATAAATAAATTTGTCAAAATAATAGTCCTTAGTAAAAAAGAAAAAGGAGCAATATTTTCAGAGAAATAAGATGGTTGTTGGAATATGGCTATTTTTTTCTTCTTTTCATGAGATCACGTTTTTAGTACTCTTTGATTACAGTTGATGAAGCGTAAAGTCAACTTGGAGGTTAAAATATATTTATATAATATACATATATATTAACAAATGGACAGAGTAAATGCTTTTATTAAGCTATTCTATGTGAAATAAACTGACAAGAATAATAAACTTTAATCATTAATAGTATACAATTAGGTCATGAAAATGAAGAACGAATTGATTAGATAAAATATCGTACCTGATATGAGGGTGATAGATAAGTTATAAAGTAATAAGATGTAAAAATGAGTACTATATTGATAGGAATGACCATAAGAACATACTGATGGAAAGAATACTCAGGTGGTATGTCAAGTAATAATGATAATAAGAGGAAAAAAATGGTGAATTTTTAATATCGTTAACGATATTGTTCTCATTAGACATAGATTCAAGTCATCGAGTTCTCACAATACTGATAATTGAAATCTTTTAACAATGGAAACAATAACTTGCCTCTCCAAAATTTCCAACAACATAGAAAGACTTTTACTTACTTACTTACTTACTTACTTACGCCTGTTACTCCCAATGGAGCATAGGCCACCGAACAGCATTCCCCAACCCACTCTGTCCTGGGCCTTCTTTTCTAATTTCATCCAATTCTTGTTCATTTTCCCCATGTCTATCTCCATTTCCCGGCGTAATGTGTTCTTTGGTCTTCCTCTTTTCCTTTGCATAGCCTTGAGGATTCCATGTGAGGGCTTGTCTTGTGACGCAGTTGGGTGCTTTCCTCAATGTGTGTCCTATCCACTTCCAGCGCTTCTTTCTAATTCCCTCTGCTGGGATCTGGTTTGTTCGCTCCCAAAGTAGGTTGTTGCTGATAGTGTCCGGCCAACGAATCTGAAGTATTTTGCGTAGACAACTGTGAATAAACACTTGTATTTTCTGAATGATTGCTTTCGTAGTTCTCCAGGTTTGTGCCCCATACAGTAGAACTGTCTTGACATTTGTATTGAAAATTCTGACCTTGGTGTTGGTTGACAGTTGTTTTGAGTTCCAGACGTTTCTCAGTTGTAAATATGCTGTTCTTGCTTTGCCGATCCACGCCTTCACATCTGCATCAGATCCAGCATGTTCATCAATGATGCTGCCCAAATATGTAAAGGTTTTTACATCTTCCAAATCTTCTCCGTCAATTGTGATTGTATTGGTGCATGCTGTGTTGTATCGGAGAACCTTGCTCTTCCCTTTGTGTATATTGAGACCTATTGCTGCTGAGGCTGCTGCCACACTGGTCGTCTTCTCCTGCATTTGTTGTTGCGTTTGGGATAGAAGGGCCAGATCATCTGCGAAGTCTAGATCGTTCAATTGCATCCTAGATATCCGCTGTATCCCATGTTTCCCTTCAGATGTTGACGTCTTCATGATCCAGTCGATCACCAGGAGAAAGAGAAAGGGTGAGAGTAAGCAACCTTACCTGACACCGGTCTTTACTTCGAACGACTTTGTCAACTGTTCTCCATGCACGATTTTGCAGTGTAATCCATCATAGGAATTCTGTATGATAGTGACTATCTTCTGAGGCACGCCGTAGTGTCGAAGAAGTTTCTATAATGTTGTTCTGTCCACGCTGTCAAATGCTTTTTCGTAGTCAATGAAGTTGATGTAGAGTGATGAATTCCACTGAATTGATTGTTCCACAATGATCCGTAGAGTTGCGATTTGGTCGGTAACATAGAAAGAAGTGAACAATATTGTTTTCGATTAGATCCTCATCAGGTTTTACTCTAATATACAGTAATATTTACATACATATAACGATCTTAGTAAACCAAATCAAGGCAACTTTTGAGTCATTGATAACAGTGGAACTAGATTACAAATCGATAGTGTGATGAAATGTGTATTAGTTGAAATGAAGTTAAACATTTAATTGAAGAACTGTTTAGAACTAAAGAGTACAAGACGACATTGACTGATAATAATTATTAATGTCAGTTTGAGAATTCTATACTTCTATTCCCTGGCATCTTTTTCTTTTCTCAAATATACGCTTCACGGTCCAATTATCTGAACACCTCTTACTACGTAATCTAATAATTTTTCTATGAATGTTATTTTAGTGTCTTTATTTTTTCTAATCATTGACCTATTTCCGATTATGTAACACTGATTCAAAACGGAGAACAGCATTCCAATCACTCTTGATGGCGAAACTCTGGAAGATGTAGAATCCTTCACATACTTGGGGAGCATCATCGATGAACAAGGAGGTTCAGATGCAGACGCAAAGGCGAGGATTGGAAAAGCAAGGACAGCATTCCTTCAATTGAAGAACATATGGAACTCAAAACAACTATCTGTCAACCACTATCAAATCAGAACCTTCAATACAAACGTCAAGACAGTTCTACTGTACGGAGCTGAGACATGGAGAACTACTACAACCATCATCAAGAATGTACAAGTATTTATAAATAGTTGTCTACGCAAGATACTCAACATCCATTGGCCGGATACCATCAGCAACAAACCAGCATCCGTGTGAAGAAGAAACTAAGAAAAGACGATGGAAATGGATAGGACATACATTGCGCAAATCATGAAACTGCATCACGAGGCAAGCCCTGAATTGGAATCCTGAAGGGAGGCGGAAAAGAGGAAGGCCAAAGAACACATTACGTCGGGAAATAGGATCAGATATGAAAAGGATGAATAGGAACTGGAAGGAACTGGAAAGGATTTTCCAGGACAGGGTTGGATGGAGAATGCTGGTGAGCGGCCTATACTCCTTCACGAGGAGTAACAGGCGTAAGTAAAAAGTAAACATTGATTCAAGCCTTTAATTATTCTTATCACAACTTGTACACCTGTCATCACACTATCAATTTGTACTTTTCACTTATTATGTTTATTTATGTAATCTATTCCATTGTTATCATCATTAACTCATAAACTGCCTTGATTGGTTTAATAATTCCGTATATGCATATAAATGCAGTACTGTG